TTTCCAAGATTTTTCACCCTGCATGTCAAAGGTATATGCATCAAGTGTGCATCAAGTGTTGACAGGAAAGCAGATTTAATTTTGTTTTTCTGCAACTTTATCTTCTGCAGAAAGTAAGTTTTTCCTTAAACCAAGTACAAAACTTCACCCCAGACAAGTTGGATATTGAACCAGATGGTCCCATTTTGTACAGAAAGGCTTGATTCATACAGATGGGTGGAGGACTGTACGCATGTATTTAAAGTGATCTTTAAAAATCCTGTAAGATTAAATGATGGCTCCGACTGTCACTTGAGAGTGACAAGTCCAGGATCCCAGCAGAGCAGAGCTTTGGTGAATGAAGCTGTTATTAGACACTTTGACACCTGGGCAGACAAAGTAGCTGTCAGTGGCTTTGCACACTAAGGCAAACAGACAATCCCATCAGATGCATGACACTTAAGTTTTACACTCTGCACCATACCGAAACATGGACTGAAGCAGAGAGACACCAGAACATGGACTAAAGCTGAGAAAGTTTTCAGTAAAGTAGATGTTGGTAAGCTCTTATACAGCATCTACCTATCCCAGAGAGTAACCTCTTAATGAAGATAGTTGAGCAGAAATATCACAGCCATGACTGGTAAATAGTGAATCCCTTTTAAAGAACACTGCTGCAAAACCTGCAAGAAGGTCACTTATGTCAGTTGAGGTGACAAAAAATTAGGTGATGTCAATGCAGCTACTTCTCTGGACCCAGACATCAAAGAGTATTCATCTTCAATAATGTGACCGAGCACTGATTAAGTGATACCAACATTTGCTTTTACCATCTGATTTTAAAGCAATCTTGACAGAAAAGCCTGATTTCACAACTAACTGTCCCTGATGTAAAAGGTAACTTTGTTAGCTAAATGTTCATACAGGATCATATGGAGATTGGATAAATTCAAAGGAAATACATCCATTAAAAATTACTACATTCACTGAAGCCTTTTCTGACGCAGGAAGTCCCTGAGCTGCAAGTGGCTGGTAGCAAAGTACTGAGGGCAAAACATCAACCTTTGCTTGCTCTATTCTTCTGTTCTTCCTCACTCATCTGTTTTAACCACTGCTAGAAATGAGGTAACAAGCTAGATGGACTTCAGCTGTGACCAAGTACTGCTGCTTTTAGGTAATATTGACTACCAACAGTAGTAACAGTGAAAAAAATAGTCCTATCTTAAAAGGCAGGATCTTTTAGCATAAACCACTTGCCATTTAATAGAACAGAAAAACACCAAAAAAGTTTTATCGGCTCCAGAAGTATTTCTTTAAGTTTTTGAAGCAGTTTTTCCAAGAAAAGGAAAACTAGGTAAGTCAGTTTTGATGCCCAGCTCCACATTTCTACAGTTACAAAAAAAAATTCCACCCAAGAGCAAACATAAGTTACAAGTTGACCTTTATGTTGGAACCTAGATAAAAATCCATGTGGTCCTTATGCATGAAAGAGTTAGATTGCCGTAATATCCCTCCTGACTTTAACCCATTAGCCCAGAGAAACAGCAGGCCAATACTGAGGTTTTTTAGCTGCTCCTTTTCCAGCTTTGATTCCTAAATTATACTTGGATAAATATTTATACACCTAAAGATCTTATTTGGCATAAAAGAGTTTTAACTCTGCTCAAAGTGTAGCTCTGGTGAGCTTGGATGTCACCCAACGCAGAGCCATGAGTGGAGCCTGAAGCTTTTTAGCACATCTGGACAGGGATCTTGAAGCCCCTGTTGAAGGGCCATTGTTGGCACTAAAGTGCAGTCCCTTGAGACTTAGGACACGAAATGGTTAACTGATGAGACCCAGTTCTCCCCTCTGCCCATGCCCAAGGACATGCCCCCACCACTTTTTGCCCCAGCACTGATACTGCAATCTTCCAGGAGCCATTTCACTCAACTTAGCTCAAAGAAAGCTGCTGTTTTCTGCCAGGTTAAGGCATTTCACTAGCTTATCCTGGTTCAGACAAGCCACCAGAGGTGGCAAAAGATAGGGTAATAGTGGGACCTCACCTTTTGTCCATAGTAAGCTCTTAGGTTAGCTCAGCTGACAGCATGTAATTAAATCTTAAGGATATGGAGTTACTATATGCTCGAGCCAGTTCAACTGAGCTAGGAGCTGTGGTCAAAGAGGGTCCCAAACTGGCAGCTGCAGAGGCAATCTCTCCAGCTCACTGATGTGGTGTGAAGAGGAGGGAAGGAGAAGAGTACCCCGTTTTCAACCAGGTTAGATGCAGCATGAAAGTGAGCCCTAGCATTAACTCAAACGCAAGTGGGCCCAGTGTTTTATCCTGACCTTTGGGGAAATATCCAGGGAAAAACTGTCTGGCTTTTTATTCTAGTTATGCTTTTGATAAGTTCTGATTGGAAGCCATAACATTTTTCTGTTAAAGAACTTAGTATCTGTTGTTACACTTCCACACACAGAAGTATTTCCAATGACTCTGCGGCAGATAAAAACACTGACTTAATAGGTCATGCAACCTTAGTCTGAAAGTAATAGCCCCCAAAATTGAAAAGCTTGAGACAGCCATTTAAAATACATTAGTGTTCTTCTTAACTGATATGGTAAGGGAAGAAGTTTTTATCTCTCAGACTATAGAATTAAGCCACCATAGTTCTAAGGTATTCTTTTTCTGTTCTATAATTCTAGTTGTTTGACCTCAATTAAAGAAAACCTTTTAGTTATTCTTGCCAGAACACCATTTCTACTGCTTTAGCATCTTGTCTAAGGACATTATTTTAAAGTCGAGAAATCTTACAGAATAGTTTTAGAAGTCTGTATTAACAGATTGCCCCTCCTCCCTCTTCCCCACCCCCATTGAAATCAAACGCAATGAAGAAAAGTTTAACTTACAACAATTATACTGAAAGGAATAATTATTCCTGCTAACAACTTATAAGAAATGGTGTCCTCTTTGTATGGATACCGGATGGATTCATCACTACAGAAAACTCCTCTCTGGAAGGGGACACGTCTTGAATTGAGAATTGCAAAAGGCAAGCCAGCTAGCAAAAAGGAATAAAAAATACATTACAAAAGCAACACAAACTCTGGTGATGATTATACCCCCGCATCTCCAAAGAGAAGTGCATAAAGAGGAACAGGCATGCAGTAAGTTAGAAGGTTATGCACTTCCTTTGGTCAATGACTACTGCCTTGTCTTTGCAGCTCCCAGGAAGGGCTGTTGAATGAAGGAGAGCAGGACAGGATTCCTCTCACCTTCGCATTTGTGGCACATCAAGTATGGAAGCATGCCGAAACCATGATTAAGTAAACAGTTCAGTGACAACCACCGAGTTGCTCAGTCTGCTGCTACTGTCACAATTACCGATTACTCCTTTATATTCCATTGAGCAACAGCTGCCCCTTTATACCTTCTCTGGACAGCTTTACAAGTCAGAAGAGCATAAATTGCATTTCATGAAAGCAGAAAAGGGGTGCTTCTCAGGGAGTGCAAGTGCAGAGGGAGTTTTCAGGAAGAGATATGGAAAAAAGGAAAAATTACACATGCATGCCATCCCCTCACTTCCACAGACACTGAGTAGTTCCCTGGAACAATGTGGTCACTGCACAAGCCCTACAACTTCAGGGCATGGAGATTTTATTCCCTTCTCTTCCACAAAAGAGGAAGCCTTTGGCTCATCCTAAACTCAGAACACAAGATTAAGGCGCACAATGCTTTATGCTATTGCACCTCAAGAGACCTGCAACACTAACCAAAACTAGCCATTTGAACAGCAAAGTTTTTTTAAAAAGCTCAAAATAGGATACAAATTACTACAAACTAATAGAATCACATTTTTAAATCCCGATCCTCCATCCTTGACACACATACAGCATCTGCACAGTCTGTGTACAGGGATGAATACCCTCAGAAAGAAATGGCTGTATGGAAAAGAGAAATGGGGGACTACCAAAAACGTTCAACAAAACAGTAAATAATTTTCTTTAGCTTGGGGATGTACAGCCCAGTGGCATTAAAGTGCTTAAAAGCCCTTGATTTTGTGCTCAAAATTCAGCAGTATTGCACATAAAACACATACCGATTTAGAGTTAAACAACAAATCATCTGGGGGGAGACACTCCTAATCTGCTAGTAAAGGATCTGAAGGATGAAAAACAGCCTCCTTCCTTTCTTCCTCCCAGAGCAAGATGTTGCTATACTCTCAGTTGTCTCCTCAGGACCTCTGTGTCAAGGCATAGCCCACCTCTTCCTTTCCATATACACAGCTACCCCCAAATAAGTGTGCAAAACCAAAAGTAAACGCAGAAAGAACAGGAGAAAAGCGATTAAAAAAAGATACCAACCAAGCAGTAAAAGAACTGTTAGGGAAGAGAACAGAAACACTGAGTTACACAGCCAGGATTTCCAAGAAGAAAAAAAGAAAGAAAAAAGACCTAGGATCCTTTTCAACCCTCTTCCCCCTTTAACCTCCACCCATGAAGTCCTCCAAACTACACCTTACTCCTGGGCCCATCACGAATGAGACATACTGTGGTTTCACCAATGATTTGCTATCAATTTTGTTCTTCCACCATAAAGTGACTGCGTTCTTTCTTTTAAAAGAACGCCTCAGTCTGAAAACAGACACAGAAGAACAAATAGCAAACTAGTGGCTCATAAAGTGAAAACTTCCTTTAAGCGGCCTCTGGTAAGTGACACACGGTTTTGTTCCACAACCAAGCAGTTACGGGCTTATCATAGTGCCCGTGTATTCCAGCTAAGCCCGTCGCAAAGAATCAAGTATCTTCTGTACTGTTACAGTCATAAAATCAATAGCATGCAAAACCTCCCCTCTGAAAGTGGCAGAAAAAAACCACTGTCATTGTGAAGAGGGGTTGTTTCCAGTTCCACACCAGTGGGACTACAACTGACCTAGCTCTGGAAGCTGTCCAAGCACACCAACAAAGCAGAAGGACAGCAGGACGGGCTAAGAGCCAAGCCAGAGCATTGCCAAAACACTGAACTGTTCAGACACCAGCCAACAGAGAGCCCTGGAGCTGGACTCCGCAGTACAGTGCAAAAACATAGCCTTTCCTACCAGGAAAAAAATCCCTCTCCCTTTCTCCTAATAGTAAGAATAGTAGAATTTATTAAAAACTCTGCAGCCCAGACCTCATTTCTACCCTCCCCTTGTGTTGGTATTGAGACAGCATGTCATGATACATCATCAGTTGTTTAGTATTTAGCTAACTTGTGCAAGGCAGAAGGTAGAAGTAGTGTGCAGTCATGGTGAGGGAAGGTGACTTGTCAATATAATGCCATGGTGTATTTCCAACACCATTTATTCTATAAAATATGTATGGAATGAAAACTTCATCCTTTGCCCTGCACACATACTAACAGCGAGATTCAAGACTGTATATTTGAGAAGTGTATTTTTTAGATCTCCAGAATTGGAGAACGAGGCATACACAAATAAGAGTCTCTTGATTATTTACAGGTTTAGAGTAGGTAGTTTTAATCATCATGGTAAAGCAGTTGCTCACAAAATTAAGTTCAGCCTAGAAAAACCTTATCATGGCTTTAGCACACTGCCACAAATACTTGCAATCATAGTCAGGTGGCGTCACTGACATCACATCACCAGCTCTGCATCACCCTTTTTAAAGACCTGCTCTATGAATAATGGTGTCATGGTGACTTACTCCTCATTTCCTCCTACCCACACCTGAATGTTTCAGCTTCTGAAGGTGGGAAATAAAATTTTCAGAGTGCTGAGGTTATTCAGGTGGTTGGGGGGGGGCTTTTTTTTTTTTTTAAATGTAATTACCTGCTGCTAAATCAGAAATGGAAAGCAATGGTATGTGGTTCATGGGAATGAAGTCCCTCACGCAGTGATGACATGTGCTTTTCCATGCAAAGACAAGCTGCTTGAAATGTGTGCTCACTCTTCAGCAACACTGAGATTATGGTGTAATTAGTCTGTAATTGCTTGCAGCACCTTCCTATATAAACATCATGCAAACAAAAAACTAAACAACTCAAAGCTTGTTTTGCTTTTTAAGCAAGTAAGAATCAGCTAAAGTAAGTTATTAAAATGCCTTCTCTTTCATAATTTCTTTCTACCTCTTTTACTCTATCTGAAACCAATCCTATTTTGCCAATTTTTGCTAAGAAAGAAAACTTTATAAACAGTTTCCTGAAGTCATGACCAGCAAAATTTATGTAAGACAGTATGAGTCCTAAAGTTCTATATACCTACCTGGTTTGCAATAACAATTAATTGGAAGATCTATGCATTGAAATACAATACTGCTAAAAAAGCTTACATAGTAAACTTTAAGTGTCTCTTCAGTTTCCCCCCAACTGTAAATCAGTTTTAAAAAGTAATTCCACCAGTCATTTGTCTTATTGCTGTTCTCAGCACGCTTCAGTGCTGAAAGGAGACATGCTCCATGAAAGCTTGAGATAAAAGTTTTAGTTTCTAAAAACCAGATTACAGTAAGATTGATCAGATTGGTTTAACAGTGTTAAACTGAAAACGAAAGTCACAGAACTACAGTATCTGTAATTTACCTTTTGCTCAATCCAGGTCAGTTATTAGCCTGAAAAACCATGCTAGTACTGGCTTTTGATGCCTTTTTGATTAAAGTACTCTCCAATGTCAATACCTACTCCTTCAGAACATGCTCCATACAGCAGGTTTCATCTACTTCTTTTAAACACACATAGATTGGCTTTACTATTAGCTGGTGGGAGGGGGCAGGGGGAAAGTAGAAGTCAAACCAGAGGGGCAGCAACTCATACCTTTTCTGGCAAGTGTAGCCATTAAGAAAAACTTCTCACAATACTTAGGGGTTTTGTTCTGTTTTAAATGAATCGGCAAAGTCTGGTTTTGTGGGATTTTAAGTTTTGTTTGGGTTTTTTTTTTTTTTTAAAAAAAACCAAACTTCAATTCTAAAATCAAATCAAAGTTATTTGAAATATGTAGCTTAAGTACTTTCTGCATTGCAAGTCTCTCCCTCAAAGATAACGCAGAGACAGGAAAAAATACAGTTTGGCTTTTTCATTAGTACAAGCAGGACAAACAAGCAAAAGAATGGCATAAGTGATGAAAGAGGCAAAGCCTCTTACTGTAGCAAGGACAGCAGTGGGGTTTCCCTATAGTTGTGATAGACATGTTACTTTTTCACCCTGAGAGATATCATAATTTCAGAAGAGAGGAATAAGTTTTTGCATCACAGTAGCTATTTCCTAAGTATGAAACCTCCTGGCACAGGAGGACTGGACATAACTGAAGATACCAAGTGATATTTGTCTTCGTAATGGTACAACTACCATTACTGACAAGGTCTTTAACTTCCCAGATACAACTGAAGACCAAATTTTAACAGTAGTATAGGAGGTGGTATATTTCCTTGTCAGAAGATTTATCCACATAAAAGTCTAGTTGCTCAAGGAAAAGTAGCAAAGAGTCAACAGCAGATCACTGGGAGAAGAAGTCCTGCTCATCTGCCATAGTCACATGTTGCCACAGTAAGTTAAAAGAAAGGCCCTGTTTTTTCTACAAATATCCATTTTCCCCGAAACAAGCTACAATTTCTAAGGGCAGAGTTGGGCACATTAAAAAGGAGAATTAATGAAAATTAGTTGGGCTCAGTTTTACATGAAAGTAGAAGAAGTTGAAGAATTTAAGTGCTCCTTTTAAGTAAGGAGTGGGGGTGGCAGAGGGTCATTAAAGGCTCTCTACTCAATACTTCCCATATGACAATACCAAAAAGCATCCCTGATGTATACTTCATTTTCCAAGTCAATTGTAACACAGTGAAGAAACTGCCTAAAGGAAGATGACAACAGGTATGTTAAGAGGAATTGTAAGTTTGGGAAGAGGTTACCAGTAGGGTAATCTCAAGGATAAAGCCAACAAGCTAGTGTTACTCAGTGCATATGCCAGCATCATTAATGAATAACTAGTAGACGTGCTGCTGACAGAGCTGGAAATTCTTTGTTACAGTGGAAGATCAAGGTCAGCCAGTTCTGCCTGCAAAACAACTCTTAAAGACTGAAGCAGATGGAGACTTGTGCAGTAATGAGTTCAGAGTCATGCACTTGGACATTAAACAACTCTGATGAGCTGGGAGCTTGTCAGTTCAAAAAATGAGGGCAAAATAATGTCTACTTCCTACGGTTGTTGTACATCAGTATAATAGTGTGACCATTAGACAAGTCTTTCCAAAGGCATTAACACTTTTAGCCACCCGACAAGAATTTCTTCTGAAACAGCATTCAATGAGAATTTGCAAACATGT